ATAAATTAGTTCTAAAGTTGAGGACGATGATCTGGTACATCTGAGATGACCAGTAATGTTAATACAGATTACAGGTTCAGAGAGTTTAAAGTGGAACACCCAAGCAAAGATGTTAGATACGGCAATTGGTAGGGAACCTTCGGATGGACTCCTTAAATAGGTAATATAGAAAATTACACATATAGCCAATTGTATGCTCTCTTGTAGTGGTTCATTGAACCACAATACTGATAAGTAATTAATAAAAGTTAAAAGACCAAAGAGGTCACCTTAATACCAAAAAAAAAAAAAATAATAAATAAATTAAATATTTACTATTCAATGCATTCTACATATCCTACCTAATAGTTAAATCAAATGTTTTGGGAATTGATTTGTTGTCAAACCGATTTTCTAAAAAAGCCATGGTTAATTAAAATTACGTGAATGCAAAAAAAAAATATTAATTTTTAAATTCATATCTTTTCAGTGTTATAATGCCTCGCCCAAATACCAAATCTAGTATCACAACTAACAAGGCCTGTAATAAAAATAGTACTTTTGCAGCTAATCCTAAAGTTATAAATGATATAGACGAAAACATGGATACTCTGGAAGACTGGGAGTTATTCGAAATAACACACGACAACTTTCAAGATTATGCATTAAAAGCTATAGAATGGCATGAAAAAGCTGATAAAAAATTGAAATCCACTTTTTATACTGGTATACAATTTATGCTTATAAGCTATTTTAAATACCGAAAAACTATTTTAGTATACTTTGACATTAAATTTTGATATAAAACCACTGGGGTACCTTAGCGGTTTCATATCAAAAATTAATGCTGAGGTATGATAAAATAGTTTCTACATGCATATTTTAAATCCCTTTACTAATAAATTATAATATAATTTTAGGAAATTCAAGAACAAACCTTTGGAAAAAAAGAAAGGCACAGGAACGACTTCAACACGAAGCTAAACAGATGTGATCTCTTGATGAAATGTGGAATATAAAGGCACAAAATAAAGGAAAAGCACTGGCACTATAATACTGTGAAAATATTTTAGCCCAATCTAAATGGCAAATGCAACGAATAGAGGAGCATTATAACAAATTAAAAAATCAGCTTCGCAATCTTCAAAATGCAAAAAAAGAATTAGCTAAATCACAACCTTATGAAGTACAAAGGTTAACATCCATTTTTCATTATTTTAGATTACTACTAGATGGTAAAAAAAAATAAAGGCTTCAGAAAAATCGTGGATAATTTATGAAAGAGTATTCGGAATACGAAACATATGTCTCATTGTATTAGAGGATAGGCAAAGGACCTTCTTGAACAAGGTATCTTATCTAGTCATAAACAGGGAAAACATGCAAAAAGGATATCGTTGCTTAATGATGAGAATCTCAAACTGGCAGCTTGTACCTGGTTATGTTCTATACCACCAAAAGATCATTCTTCTTTAGTACTAAAAAAAGAATTGGAAACAAATATCTTTCTTAAATTACTTGGAGTTCCAATCACTATTTCAGAAAAATCAATATAAAAATTTATGCACCTATGGGATTTTTATAAAAAACTATATGGCAGCAGGTGCATATTATTATTATTATTATTACTGTCATCCTCCTATGTCTTGAAAATCAAGTTACAGGAAATAGTAATTTATATGTTCGTAACTTGATTTTCAAGGCACAGACCCCATATAATCATATTATAAAAAAATACATCTTTATAAGCGCATCGTAGTAAAAACCTTTATACAATTATACAATTTGCATAATACAGGCTGCGTGATTATAGAGGAGGATGACAGTATTTTTTTTTTAATTTTTATTTTTTACCTTCTTTATTTTTTTATTTTTTTTTTTATTTTTTATTTTTTATTTTTTTAATAAATTGCTTGGCATTTTTTTAGATCTATTTCGACAGTCATGAACAAGAAGACATGCAAGAATATCGTAAAGAATGGGCAATAAGAATGATGAATTACCAAAAAAAATTGAAGCAATATGATGATGATAAGATGGAAAATGTCATACTTCCAGAATGGCTTGAAATTTGGAATATGTGCCATATTTTGGTTACCTATGATGAAGTTTATTTTTATGCTAATAATGATAATTCATCCTTTTGAGTAGAAGATAATGAGTCCATTATCAAGAAAAAAGGCCAAGGGTCATCAATTATGGTTAGTGACTTCTTGTATGCATGCCATGGCCCTTTGCACCTTACCAAGGCTAATGCTACACGACTTGGGTTGGATCAAGAGGCTCAGGTTATTATAAAACTGGGACAACAAGCTGATGGTTATTGAAAAAGTGAAGATATGGTTAAACAACTTCATGAAAAGGCAATTCTGACTTTTAATGCACTCCACCTAGGATGCATAGGCAAAGTTTAAATTCATCTATTGTTTTCTAATTTTTTATTTATTTATTTATTTATTTTTTTTTTAAAGGTGTATTTTGCTTTGATCAGAGTACCAACTATAATGCGTATGTACTTGATGTACTTGTGTATTCCAGGATGACTCTATATCCAAAAGTTGAGAAAAATTTGAATTTAAAGACAGCTGGTTCATTCATAATTATGAAAAAATTATACAACCTATGTTTTTTTTGGATAAAAAAGATGGCATTGTAAAGTTTAAAGGAATCAAAAAGGTATATAAGAATTTGTTATTTTTTTGTTTTTTTTTTTAATAAATATTATTACTTTTTAGATTCTAAAAGAACGAAATATGTGGACTGGTCAAAGATTGGATTGTCAAAGAAAGGAGGACAATGAAAAGGGTAAAAACATTTTTTATGATAGATGTATATAATTAATATATATATATATTTTTTTTTTTTTTAGTTCCAAATTGTTGTGCAAGACATACATTTATAATGGAACCTGATTTTTCGGAACAAAAAACTTTGATCACAGAGACTGTTGAAGCTGCTAGGCATATTTTTGAATTATACTCAAAATTTTACTGTGAATGCAACTTCATTGAATGTTTTTGGGATGCTGCCAAATGAATTGCCTGTCAACAATGTAATTATTCTTATGCTAGCTGCAACATCGTGTATTAGAAATACTCAACAACATACTATTACCTATGATTAGACAATTTAGCTGAAAGGCTTGGAGATATATTGAAGCATATTCAGCAGGTTTAGGTGGAGAAGATGCAGAGAGGGCCATGAAATAGTTTAAATCGTATAGACGACTTTGGGCAGACGATTAAGTAGAAACAACCACCAAATTGTGTACATGGAAACCTACAAAACATATTTTTAATCAATAAACATGATTTTTAGCAACCTTTGAAAATTTTTGAACCCACCTTACAATGCTTCTGATCATAATGTCTGAGTACTTTCAAAAAAAAAAACTGCTTTTAAAAAAAGCATTTTAAAAAAACGTATTTGCTGCAAAAAAGTTTCTGTCGCAGAGTGTATATACTTAAAAAAAAAAAAAAATTAAAATGTATCTGCTACGAAGTGTATATATTGAAAAAAAAAGTTCAGGTATGTATATACAATACATCCTCTAAAAAAAAAAAAAAAAAAAAAAATGGGTTTGAAATTTGCATTTTGATTGGACGTAAAAAAAATGAGCCTGAAATTCACATTTTGATTAGACGTAAATATGTCACATGATGATCAGTGACAAAAGTGAACGAAGTCACATGATTGGAGATTTAAAGCTTTCTACACTATACTTACTTTGCTAACCACTTTTTCTTCATCTTCACTTGAAGTTGATTCATTATCAACAAGTAGCACAAAATCTAGACTCTTTTCTAACTGATTCTTTATTTTATTTATTTAATAAAAGTTATTCAAATTGTTAGAATTTATTAAATTAATTTAAAAAATATTAAGATTATTCAAATATTTGCACATTATTGCACAACTTTTCAAATTTTTTTAAGGTTATTTAATGCTTATAGAAATTTTAATTCTTATAGAATATCTTATCAGGTTTTTCTTAAGCTAATTTTTAACAATGTCTTCAGATATTATTAATCATACATAATGTAAACTTAACATTATTTGGCATACACTTATAACATATACAACTTTATTATTGGATGGAGATTCTGAAGGCCAAATTTTTGATAAAATTTTTTGCATATATTTATCTGAATTTGGGTCACGTATATTAATTTTATTAAAAAGCTTTCTATAACATTTTTGGATTTTTGTAAAAGCTTTCCAAATCACAACTTCTTGAGAAAATGTATTCATATTAATCGAATCTAACTGGCTTTTGCCATATACCACAAATATTGCATCTTTAATACAAGTAGTTAGGCCACTTCGCACAGATCTGTGCTGTTTCAAAAGCTAAATTTATTATATCAAAATATAATTATATTTAGTTTTCAAAATGTTGTAAATATTTTAAAACTTTTTAAAATACTTTATAATTTTTGAAAAATTTGCAATTATTCAAATATTATTAAATGATATTTACTGGCCCTGCAATGTTTTTATTATAATATGTTTTCCACACTTTCTCTAACATTGAAATATAATATTCTAAATGATTTTCAAACATCCAAACTTCTGTTGCCTCTCTTAGTTCTTCTTCAAAAGAATAAATCGAATATTCAATTACATTCTTTGTAATTGCTTTAACTGATTGCTAAACATACATGATAAATCTTATTATTATTTTAAAAATTGCAAATTTGGAATGGGATTCTGTAGCCTAGTGGTCTAGGTGCCCCTTCCTTCACAAACAAGGTTAATGATTCAATTTCAGCTAGAGGCAAAACTCTGTAATCTACAGAAGCATATGAATGTATATGAAGCCCTGTGCCTTAAGTCCATGTAAATAGAAAATCAGTATATAAGAAAGTTTTCAGAAAGAAGTTTTCTGATATGGAGAGTTGGCGCTTGATGCAAGAGAAGTGCTGAACATACCAGAAATGGAGAAAAGGTACACTAGTAGGTGATATGATAAACATAAAAGGAAACTATAAGAAAGGAATGGACTTACTAAAATTTAAACACCTTTGGCATTAAAACTGATTTAGTAGATACAGATTACTCTAAGTCAGATCTAAGTAGTAATCTTGGTACCAGCTTAGTAAGCTTGCATCGAGGATAAATTTGAAGGAATATGGATACTTAGTAACATCCAATAAGGTGGTACTTTGATATAAATAGAAACTAAGATAGCTCTAATCCAAATATCACTACAACAGTAATGTAAGTATTGCAAATATATACATAATAGTATTGAAAATCAGAAAGTTTAAATAAGAGACTCATAGGCAGGTCTCAGGTATGGCATCTAGTGGATAACCTGTAAGCAAACCCCTTAATTAGATAATGACTAAAGTTATATATATGACTAGTTGTACTTTCATTAATGTACTATGTATATTATATATAATCATATATTATTTAAAAATGACATGCGGACAAGATTGCTACTTCAAATTAAAAAAAAAAAAAAATTATAAATTTTTTCAAATAATATAAAATTATTTTAAATACTTTAATAAAATTAGTTTCTTGTGACAAATTATAAGTTTTATTAATTTTATCATCTAATTCATTTAGATGTTTTTTGATTCTATCAACTTTTTCAGTTAATTCTGTATACTAGTTAAATATAAGAAAATCGACCACCGATTAAAATGGCCGATTCAGCCTGAACTCGACTGTCGATTATTGGCTGATTTTAT